GGTCACCTTCAGAAGGGAGCTCTGGTAAGCAAATGCATCCATAATGTTCCTGTATTATCTCTTTAATATCTTACTTGGCACTTTTAAAAGATGATCAGTCCTACGTTACTTTTAAAGCAAAACAATATAATCAGCACCTTGATTCCACCACCCAGTCTCATGCTAAGACACTACTATCAGCCTCTGCATTCTCCCATTATGCCATTCCTCTGATTCCTCCTGCCCCACCCGACATGACCATTATCCTAAGTTTCATGTTTATCAATCTATTGCTTATACACCTATATACACAATGTTATTACAAATGCGTGTGCGCTTAAAATATATGTATGAGCTAAATGTAAAGAGGTTTAAAAAAAAAAAAAAAAGCAGACATTTGCCTCCAGCATCTGAGAAACACACAGCTATTGCCTAGATCACATGCTTTACCCGAGTACACTATCCTTGAATTCTGGGGGCTGGGTGGGGTGGGATGGGAGGTGGGGAAATGAAGGCTTTTGTCTACCCATGTACAGTTTTGGAAATGGAAATGAAGAGATCATCGCAAATAGTTTTCATAGAATACCAAAAGCAGAGAAAAAAAGGGAGAAAAGGAATATAGAAGCCCTTTGAAAGTGCTTTCTCTAGAAATGGAAAATCAGTGAATTTGCCAACAGGGCAAGTTTGGGGCTTAACACCAGATTCTCCTTATTGCTATGCTTACTACAAAATGGTTAACAGAAAACTCCTAAAAATAAAATGTTTCCTGATTTCAGTCTCTGAACTGAAAACATTTCCATGTTTTCTTCTCCTTTCAAGATTTGTTTTCATTGTGGAAGATCTAAGACACTTTCTTAATAGAAAAAAAAATTGCATGACTGTGAACTTTGAAAGAAAGAACGAAACAAAAAAGAAACAAAGAAAGAAAAAAATTCCATAACTAGAAGGAGTTTATGTTTCGCTGCCTTTTGTATTTATGGATAAGAAGATTTAATATTATAAAAATGTAAACTCTTCTCATTTGAGCTGTAAATTCAATGAAATTCCAAAGTCCCAGCAGATTTTGTTTAGATATTTAACAATCTGATTCTGAAATGTCTGTGGCTGAGCAAAGGCCCAAGATTAGCAAAACCATTCCTGAAGAGTAAGATAGGAGGGGTTGCTCTACCAGATTTCAAGACATATATCAAACAATGGTAATTAAAACAGTGTGGCAGTGATACAGGACAGCAAAGAGGGATGGAACTGAAAGCCCCAAAACAAACCCATGAGTATATGGAAGTTTGATATATAACACAGAGGACATTGCACATCATGAACGAAAGAAGACACAATTTAATAAATGATGCTGATATAACTGACTACCCACATGGAAAAATATGAAATTAGATACCTACCTAACACACCATACCCATAGATCAATTCCAGATTGACTAAATATTTAATGATTAAGAAAAAAACCTTCAAAAGTTATAAAAGAAAATATAAAATATCTATGAACCAGACATGAGGAAGGACTTCTTAACACACAAAAAGAACTAGATTTTTGTGCAAAAATTAAGTCAGAAAATAACAGGTGTTGGCAAGGATATGGGTCAAGGGGAACTCCTACAGACACTGCTGGATGAAGTGTAAGTTGGAATAATTGACGTCATTTTGTAAAGCAGTTTGGCAATTAACCTGTAAAGTTGAATATTTGTGTACTTGTGTATGACACAGCAATTCCATTCTTAGGTCTGTACTCTAGAACAATGCTTCTCTCACTTTAATAAATGTCAGAATCACCTGCAGAGCCCCACAGTTTGGGGGCCCCACCCCTGGAGACTCTGATTCAGTAGGTCTGGGATAGAGCCTATGAATGTGTATTTCTGAGAAGCACCTGGGTGCTGGGGCTGCTGCTGGTTTCCAATCACGATTGGAGCAATACTGCTCCAGATTTCTTCTCTTATGTCTTGGGAAACAGGAATAAGAATATTCAAAGCCACGATGTTCATAACAGCAAAAATCTGGACACAACCCAAATATCCATCAGCAGAAGAATGGATAAATAAACTGTAGTAGGTTCACACAGTAAGGTATCATACAATATTGAAAATGAACAAGTATTGAAAATGAACATATAACAACCTGGATAAATCTTAGAAGCATAATGTTAAGTGAAAAAGTATGTCACACAAAATTATATACAGCATGATACCACTTTTATAAAGCTAATAAATTAAATAATATATTGCTTTGGAGCAATTATATGGATAAAATTAAAATATGAAGCAAGAGAATGAAAAACACAAAAATGGAAAAGGGAAGAATCACACAACTAGATGCCATCATGTGGGTATTATGGTAGTTTTTCAGGTGGGTGGTGGGTTCCCATATGCTTCCGAACTCTCATGTAAGTTTTATGTACATGAAAAATTGTTGGAAACGATTTGACGAATTGATGGAAAACATACACATAGCACACATCACATGGGAAAAATTTTTTAAATGAGTGCCAGTCAGGTAAGCTAAATGAGACAAGATTACAAGGAAAGTGAAATTGTAATAACGATTAAAATACTCATTGCACTTAGCAGATGACGGAAATGATCCTGGGGAAAATGTAGAAGACAAACCTGAGACGTCCTCTTGCAGAGTGAAAGCAAAAATGAAAACCAGCGAGAAAGGAGATGATAGAAGTGCAGGACTGAGGATGGAAGGCTAACAGCTTCCTAAGCCAAAGATTGGAACAAACAGAGAAAAAGAATGCAAAGCTATACTTAAAAGAAAATTCTTACAGGTTAAAAAAAAAGGCCTTAGTCTTCCTGAACAAAAGTACTCCCCAAATATCAGCAAATTAATGCGGAAATCCATATTGACATATTCCTGGTAAAAGTTCAGATATCAAGAATAAAACATGACTTCTATAAGCATCCTGGCAGAATATAAAAGAAAGAAAATAAACTGGCTAGATAAACATAGAATAAAATTCACACTAGCCTCAAATTTCTCTGTAACAACAAATGCTACAAAAAATGATTTCAAAGTTTATTTGGAAAAATAAGTGGATATGACTAATTAAAAAAAGTTTGAATGAAGAAAGAAAAATTATGAATGAAATGAACTTGAAACTCTAGATACTGAAATGTAAACTATAATAATGAAAATGATGTAAAATGGATAATATATTATATTACAAATTATAATGCCTATATTATATATTTATATATTTTTACATATATATAAAAGTTGGTATGTGAGAAAGATGGGTTTAGGAATAGGTTATCAACTTTATGATGCTACAACTAGTTGTAGACTAATTTAGAAAATAATTAGTACCATACAGCAAAATATTTTTCAATGAATTAAGAGGTTAAATTTTTAAATAATTATAAAAAGAACTAGAAGAAATATCAGTGAAGATTGATCTGATCCTTGTGTGAGGAAGGGCTTTCTAAAAATAAAAGAAGTGAAAGAAATCAAAAGATTGATATATTTTCCTACAATTTTTTTTTAAATTGGCCATGTCAAAAAAAATCATAAAAAGTGATAAAAAGTAAACTACAAATTTGGGTGGGATATTCGTTCCATATACATTCCAAAGATTCTTACTAATAATATTAAAAGATATATTATAAATCAATGTGAAAAAAGTGGATATCCCATTGGAAATTGGGTGACTATCACTTCATGAAGTTTACTTCAAATCAAAAATACAGAAATTATAGTCAAATAGGAGCAGATTGAACCGCGATTTTTTTCATTTATATGATTGACAATGATAAAATACTTGGCATTTTAAATATTAAGATGCCATAATTAACAGCCATTCTGAGGACACTTAGTATGAATTAAGGTAGATGGTTGGACAAGGCTTAGAGCTCACTAAGGGCAGATTTAGAGCTATTCTGGTGGCAAAGGGGCTTTGAGACTTTATCCTTATTTATGCACTTCAACAGACATTTTTAGGCAGCTGACATTATAGATGACCACACTAGAGGGGGAAGAAAAGAGAAGATCATTAAAAGGTTTCTGCCTGGAAAGATGAAGGCTGAGAAAAGACGCGTGATGTCTTTAAGACCTTGAGTAGCGTGACTGCACTGAATGGCATGATTATGGAATTCCAGAACTGGGAGGGGGAGAGAGGGGCGAGGAAGCCCCTGAACAAATTAGGAACCCCTTTTTTACATGACGAGTTATGAACACTGAAGTCATTGCCCCATAATTGGATATAAGAGCAAATACAAAACAAGTACAAAATACAAAATATATCTTGTATCAAGAGTAAAAACAAAATATGATAATAGCAAATGCCATAGAAATTAAGGCAGCAGTGAATAGGCATTTGTAAGTTCAAATATATGTGTGGGCCACAGATTAAGTATTTATTAATCAGTTACAAATGGATGCTGGAATGGTTAAAAGCATCACATTCTTTTATCTTAGAATTATTCTTTTTATTTTAGAACTATTGAGTATGACCAAGGATTAGCACCATGGTTTGCAAACATTCTTCTGTTGGTGTTTCTGACGCTGGAATCCAGAACCCTGGTCTTTTGCCTGGAGGACCTTCATCTCCCCTCACCACGCTAATCGCCTTTAGTGACAATATTTGGAGGATGACATTTTGGATTCTCATATTGATGACAATTCTAAAGATTGGAAATCTTCTATTCTACAGTTAAATACAGGTCATAGACCATTATGAAAGTAAAGTCATAGGAAAAGAAAGTTAAAAATGGAAGGCCATACCAGGTTATTATTTCATATGTGAAAAACTTTGATTCATTTGTTTTGTAGTCTGGTCTGAGTCCACCCCACTTACCCCATTTGGTCATTTGAAAAGGCCACTTGAGACAATGCCCATTTCATTATCAACCCAAGGTGAGCACTTCATTGGGTTGACATGCTTACAGGATTAGGGTCTCATTAGTTGTGGTTCACTGTACCCCTGGTGAGAAGTGGTTTCTGGTATTGGTATGTTTACTCAGGACACTCAACTTGTACCTTTCTCTGACTCTCCATCTCTCTGTTCTTCTCAGGACTACTGGCTCTCTCTCCTTTACAAGCGCCTGATTGGCCCCAAAGTCTTGGCTGTGCATGTGGCTGGGCTCCAACGGAAGCCACGGCCAGGCCGAGTGATCCGGGACAAACTAAGGATTTATGCTCACTGCACAAACCACCACAAGTAAGTCTTCAGGAAGATGTCACAGAAAGCCACTCACAAGGGGCTTCAGGCTTTGGGCCCCTCTTAAAATTCCATAACATTTGGGGACCCCTGTAAGACTTACTGTAAACTGCTTCTGGAATCGTTACTCCCGCTTTTTGCGGGTTTCATATGATCTCTGATAAAAAGCTTTTTTCCTAGTAAAACCATTTTCTCACTCTCAGAGGATTTATGCACAAAAAGTTCATAAAAATACATGCCATTTGTTCATTTACTTCTTCATCCAACAAATTTTTATTGAGCATTTTCTCTGTGTCAGTTGATGTAATGCCCATGAGGCGTTTTTTTGTGTACCTATGCCTGAACCAAGGCTAGAGATATAAATTTTTTTCCCTCTGATCCACCGGCAGGGCTTGAGGAAATAAGTCTACATTTCTAAGGTGCATGCTTGAGAGCTGTACCACTAGGAAACTAGCCCTAGACCAGTGTGTCCCAAGCCGGAAGTGCCCAAAGGTAGTCATGCCATCTTTAGAACCATTTTCAGAATTTCAGAAATCTTTCCAGCTACTTTAAATGTTAAGAGGTTAATAAAATTTAGTCTTCCTTTTTTTACAGGGCTAGACTCAGAACAATCAGTGTGGGAATCCTTCTCTTTTTGATCTGAAGCACTGGTTGTCACTACAGTTGTCTGTAAACAAACAAAAAAATAATTATCATTAGATAAATACATTTTTGCAGCTAAAATATTTTAAAACATGAAGATCATAAGGTAAAAATTGAAAACTGAGCCTAAGGCCAAACCCATCTGACCAAATATGGCTTTCTTACATCACTTCCTATGTAAGGAGCAGAGTAGGCAGCTTGGAAAAAGAGAACTCTTTCTCTTAATGCAGAGAAACCCTGGGGGTGGGGGAGAGGGAGGAGGAAGCAAGCACCTCCAGCCAGACCTTCATTCCAGTGGGCCTATCAGGCGCTGATCATGGGCAGTGGATAGCACAAAGAGCTCCAGTGGTCAGATTACAATAGACGCTCCTTCCCCTTCCTTGATGAGAGAAGAGCCAAGCCAATTAATTTATCATGATAAGGTTTTTCAAAGAATCACTCTGAACATAGCAGGGCCAGGGGCCAGTTGTCTTGTCTATAGATACAAGTGCCTATTGTGGATGAGAGGAGGCTGGTTTGGGCAGAGGCCAGAGGCTTTCAACGTCCCTTTTGCTCAACAGGAAGCTCAATCCAATACCTGACAGAGAGTGACTACTTTATGGCTTTGGCTGGAGTTATCTGATCACCACACAAGGAAACATTGTATTCCGTGTCTCCACCCTGGCCCTGAGGAAATCACTCAAAAGGCGGACCCCAGCTTCAAGAGAGGAAAATTACCCTTGGCACCTTTTGTCTCTGTTGGGAAGAGCATCAATTGTGCCCTGTTTACAATGGCTCTGAGGAACCAGGGGGAAAATGTCAGTAGTCATGGGCTTAGCAGAATTTGGGTGTCCTCACAGAGGGCTCCTCACGTAGTCCCATCTCAGTGCTCAATTCTTTGACATTCTTGTGGGAAGTTATCACGAATATTCCAAATATACTGTGAACTCAGGGCCAGTGTCTCATTCATTGTTCTATTTATTCTTAGTGTCTAATATGGTGACTGGCATGAAGAAAATCTCAGTGAATGTTTGATGAATGAATGAATGAATGAATGCAGACATAGAGCATCAAGACATCACTGAGGATTTCCAGTTCTAGCCTCTCTTCCCCTTTGATATCAGCACAGCATCCTGAAGGAGGTGGTGTGGTAGAGTGGTTAATTATTCTACCATTCACTAGCATGAGACCTCAAATAAGTTACTAAAATCATATGGATCTAATACTCTCCCTACATCACCAGTGCACCTCTACTTTCTATGGGAACTCACTTCGAACCTCGCTGGGGAAACAGTGCTGCTATGCTGCTGTCAGTATCATCCCTCTTCTCCATTTAAAAAGAAAGACAAGACTTGACTAATCTATTGCACATATGGCCTTAACCATAATAATAGGGGTGAAGACCTTTATGTTCCTATTAGAAAAGTAAGCCCACAATGGACGCACTGAGCTCACTGAAGTTGCAGGTCTCTTCCATGTCTGTGAATGTTCAATGCCCCAGACAGGTAAGCACAGGGATAGGACAAGTGTCTCTGCTCCTTCTCCCTGGGAAGCCATGTGCCCTGTATGTGCCCTCTCATCTTCCACAACAGTCATGAGGAAACACTACTGATTCACTTAGTTTATTCATAGCCAATGAGGTCAAGGTCACAGAGTGGGCATGTTGGCTTCCCACTATTCAATCTTGACCAGTACTCTGAAAATACATATCCTTGGCCAAAACAGGGATTGGGTGAGAAAGTATAATAAACTTATCAGCAGAACGACCCAAAGAGAGTGTCTATTCAAACAACTCCTACACTCCAGTGTATATTGAACACTTGCCACATGCCAGGCATCTTGCCAGATATTTGTACTATACACAACTAACAACACTAATAATACAAACAATTTTACATTTGGGAAGAACCCTTAGAGATCTTTTGGTCTGGTGTCCTATACAACAGAAATTCCTTTTACAGCCTCCTTGATGGACAGTTCTGCAACCTCTAATTGAATACCTCCTTGCCCTTCCTGGCAGACTTTTGCATTGTGGTTTGGTTTTGACCTAGGAGACTGTTGTGTTTTAGGCTGGATTTAGGATAAAAAGTTAGGTATGCATACCAACACGAGCAGGTGCTTTCCTGCCTTCTTTCCTAGAATTAACAGATGAGGAGCCTGGCAGCGTGGCAGTTCTCGCCTTAGGTCTTCTTGTTCAGAGAACAAATAAGTTTTGACTGGGAAACCTTGTTTTTATAAACCATTCTGCTGAAACAATGTATGTTTCTGGGGAGGAGTTGAGGTCCTTAGCCAAGTTCAGAACCAATTGGAACCTGGTGGATATTGAAGCAAAATTGAGCCTTTTGGGGTTCAAGTTTGTTTATTATTGGCAAAACACGACTTCCTGTTTTTTAGAAGAATTTTTTTAAAGACTCATAAAAAAGGTTCCTGAGGCTTCTTGGACATCAAATAGCTCTTACAAAACAATATTTTGATGAGTTAAGTGTAAATGAATCAGAAACATGTGGATTAAATTTCCCTTAAAATACACAGGGGCTTTGAAATTAGGGGAAAAAATGTTTGGCAAAACATGGCCTGACTTTTACCGAACCCAAAAACTTTGAGTTAGATTTGGAGACAATGGACCAACCCAGTTTTCAAACACATGGACTTTCACTGGAAATGGACCATGGATTCCAAAGCACCGTCTTCTCTTCCCTTTCCTCTGTCTCTCAGCTTCACTGGAGGCATTTCTAGAACAGTGACTGTTTTTTATCTGGATGTCAAGATGCACCTCTCCATATGATGTCCCCTACCTCTTATATCCAGGATACTCCACTTTGAGCCTCCCTTCCCTGACTCACTTCCTCCTACCCCCATGGCATCACAGAGAAGATGTCAGGCAGCAAAAGAACAGCCAAAAAGATGCACTCCAGATGCATGGATTGTCTGCTGATGAAAAAGTCTCACCACAGTGAGACTTGGAGTAAGATAGATGTTCCACCAGAAAGAAAGGGACATTTGCTAAGAGAACCAAAAGCCACCTGGACTTGACATCAGAAGACGATCAACTGCCTGTCAGCCATGCTTTCTGTCAGACCCCATCTTCTTAGGGAACAGATACTCCTCCAAGCTTACTTTTCTGTGGGCAGAGAATACATATTCTTCAGGAATCTGTATTCTTGACACAGTACTCTCAGGTTGGTGCTGCAGTCTCCACCCAAGAATGTGGCTTCGCAGCCAGAAGACCTCTGCCTAATGCCTTTGCCCATCAGCCAGGCAGAAAAAGGGACAGCTGAGGTAGTCTTCAATGCCAGTTCCTACCTGAGGAGGCTCTGTGCATTCTGTGAGAGCCTCTGCACATTGGTCTGTGAGCTGGCTTTCAGTACAGGTTTGTCTCCCCCAGGGGAACTATGTAAATGGAAATCAGACCATTGCCAAGCAGCTTGAAAAGACAGCTTTCCCTGCAGCTATGCTGTGATTTCAGGTCTCCCTCCCACCCACCACTTCCCCACATCCCACCCTTCTCCTCTGCAGTCTCCCAGGGCTCATTCTGCCCCAGCTCTGCAGAGGAGAAACTTGTAAATGCAAGCACACAGCTTTCCCTCCTCCACTGCTAGCCTTTGAGAAAGTTATCTGCTGGTAGTTAGCAAAAGAGCTTACCACAGCCTGGCAAAATTGGTACCCATCCATGCCTACTTTTGCTCACACTCTGAAGCCCAGAGTGCCTGTAATTAATGGTGTTTGCCTCAGTTTCCTCAGCTAAGCTAAACCTAAAGCCCACCCACCAATGGAATATAGTTGGTGTTCTTTTAACGATGGTAACGCTGACACAGGCTAGCAGAATCTCTCTTCTGAGCTCTAGTGACACAAGTTTGCTCAGTAAATGGGCATTCTCTTCTGACCTACTCAGTTGGCTCTAAAAGTTACTTCACATGATTCAGAATATTGAGAAGAAGGACCAGAGGAGGAGGAGCCAGAAAGAAGTCATTTAACAATCTATCAGAATATCAGTGCAGGCATCCAGAAAGCCTTGAACACAATAATGTGCCCTCCTACAGACGCAAGAAGAACCATCTGACACACAGTCAGTGGAATATACTTTGGGAATTATTCTCACAAATAAACTTAATGGATTACTCTAAGCATGTGGTTTCCAAACCCAACTCATCTGCCAAATATCCTAAATATATATGTATATATCCTAGCCCCCATCACAAATGGATGGAATCAACATCTCCAGGATGAGCCCTGGTAACTGTATTATTAAAAAACAAAACAAAACAAAAGCAACCCAAGTTATCATGTTGACCTGCCCTTAGTCACTCAACTCTTCATTAGCACCTTTAGAAGCAGAGGTGAGTGACCCAGAGGCTAAGGGATGATGTTTCTGCAAGGAATGATATTTTCCTCTGGGCAAAGTTGACTTAGAGTTTCTCTGAAATCCTCCTTTGAAGGCAGGACTGGGTCATTTCTTCTGTTTCCTCTCATTAACCCATCCAGATGGGGCCCTAGGGGACCCCTTAGAAACAAAGTCTTTTTCCTACAAGAAAGAAGGAAATCATTATAGTTTTGTTGATACATGCTGGAAGGCTCTTGCATGTAGGCATACAGTTCTTCCAGGCTTCTGAACATCCTGTGCTGGTTTAAAAGGATTCCAAAATGTGAGTAGTTTTATAATCTTGGTGTAGGTAAAACAGCAAAAGCAGAAATCAAAAAGATCGATAAATTTGACTACCTAACAGTTTTTAACCTTTTTTTTTTTTTTTTTTTT